AGAGAGAGAGAGAGAGAGAGAGAGAGAGAGAGAGAGAGAGAGAGAGAGACTTCAATAATGAAATCTTTGTTTGAAAATGACAACTAATTTGAACGTTTAATGTGATTTATATAATAAACTGCCTATGGAGCCTGATTATTGATACACCCATGGGTGTGTTAGTGTGTGTATATCCTCACTGTGTACATTACAGAGCATGAATTTAAATTCCATCAAGATTAAGGCGTTGTGATACACAGAATAAAAACTATCAATCCCAGAATGGAATTTTACAGAGTATTCTAGAACGCTCTGTTCCTTCTCAGGCTGTATAATTCTAGCTGTTCCTGGGTGTGGTAGTGATTTTCTGAAAATTAATTCTCCAAACTGGAAATGGTTCTGACGTGTTCAGGGCAAGGTGTGTGAAGGAGATAGGACTAGTTAGGTCTAGAACTGCTTCTAGTTCAGAAAACTAATTCCTGAGAAACCACCAACCCCTTCTAGAAGAACTGGAAAGCAGGCTGAAAATCAGCAGAGAAAATTTGGGGGTGGGGGGTGGGGAAAGCCTGCAATTTTGGGTTATTCTGACATTCTTCCATTCAAGTACATACCAATCAGCCTCCACCTTTGGCAGCTCAACTATAATTAGCTTAGTTGCTTCTACCTGAACTATGCTAAGTAGGTCCATAATAAATGGCAAGAAAAAAAACCTGCCTTTTACATTGGCTGTTCTTTGGAATGATCTATCACCAGATGTACCAGTTAGAAAGGTGGTTAACACCGGGATCTTCCACCAAGCTTTGTGACTAGGTTGAGGTGAGTACCCCTGGGAAGGTTGTTGGCATTTTCAGTGTTCAATATTTAAGGTTTAGTATGTTTTATATATTTTTTGTAATTGGGGTGTATTTTGCCTAGCCTCAGAGTTTCAATGGAATAGTCTTATAAGCAACTACATAAATATTAAAACTAGCCTTAGACACATAAATGAAAACATCAGTAAAATCCATGGCACCATTTTCATACTATTAAGTACAAGAGATGTTGTCAGCTGATTTATATAGACTAAGCATTCATCAATGATAAATAATCTAATAGAAGAAAGATGTTCAACCTACCTTCCTTTCTTTTGATTTCAGGAGGACTTTTACAATGTCCACCATGGCTAACGGCCCACACGGGATACTGCTGATTCAGACTAAAATATAAACTCTCAATGAATATCCGGTAAAAGCCAGCCAATCCTGGATTACCTAAAAAAGACAAAAATATACTAAAAGTATTGGCCACAAGTACAACACAATTCATTAAGTTTTATCTTGTATCTTGCGCAAATTATATTTATCAAATATTTTTCACCTTATGGACTATTCATTGAGAGTTTATATTTTAGTCTGAATCAGCAGTATCCCGTGTGGGCCGTTAGNGACCATGGAGATGTCTTCAGGCAGCGCTGGCTCTTCAGCTTTGAAATGGTGATGAGCACTGCCCCCCCAGAGTCAGGAATGACTAGCACATATGTGCGAGGGGAACCTTTACTTTTACCTTTATTTCTCTAATGGAAAATCAAGCTATGTGATTGCATCTGAAAGCTTTCTTTGCTTTGCATATTTTTGCCACTCCATCTCACAAGGAGAAACATGAATTTTTAAATATGAAGAGCCAGCTGGAAGCCTGTCACTCAAAGGGAGCATGAGCCACTGAATGTGTCCTGCCACCCATATAAGAATCCAATTTAAAGCATCTGTATCTCTGGAACACATCTGCTGTAAAAGAGACTACCACAATTTCAATACACAGTTCCCATGCAGAGCTACACTTGCCGTTAAATATTGTCCTGGCATTCAATTCAGAAAGCTAAGAAGCTGTAGAAAGTATGACTCTGTGGGCACATGCACACATTTACGTAAATGCCATGCTTAGCAGAATGTTCAGGATGTAGACAATATTTAGTCAGGATAATTCTCAGCATCTATTTTAAACAGCAAGCAAAAATGGGGAAGCAAAATTCCTCTGTTCTGCCACTTCTAGTTGCAGATTTAAAAAAAGAATTCCTAGCAAAATGAAAGCACTTTTTCAGTGGAGCAGAGAGTTGATGGACTGTCCTTCACTGAATCCATTCAAGTAGAAGATAAAAGAACTCTCTGACAGGTATGTTTTAGTTTACATTCCTATACAAAGTAGGGCAGGGGTGTCAAACTCAATTTCATTGAGGGCCGCATCAGGGTTGTGTTTGACTTTGGGGGAGGGGGCGTGGCCAGCTTCATGTCACTCATGTTGGGGGTACTTGTGGTGGCCCCAGTGCTTTGTCAGTGAAAACAGGCTCCTGAGCTCCGTTTTTCGCTGCTACAACCTCCTGCAACCTCCTGCCAGCGAAAACAGATCTCGGGAGGGCCTTCTGTGGCCCTCCCAAGCTCCATTTTCGCTGGCAGAGGCACCATGGGACAGTCCTTCGCTATTTCCAGGGTGACCCCGTGGGCCAGATCTGGCCTGCGGGCCTTGAGTTTGAAACCCTGAAGTAGGGGAATAGATTAGACAATTCAAGGAACTCCTTCCAGGTTTCTGATTCTATAAGTCAACATCCAATTGTTAGGCAATGTGCCAACGGAACTGCTAATTACATTTGCATACCGAATGATTCCTCCAACTTTCTATGAGAAAATTACTCCTAATTTACTTCAAGTGTGACCTCCTGCTATTTGTTATGCCAATCATTGCAGCCATGATAGAATGTATTCTAATTAATTAATTAAGATTGTTGGGACCCAAGAGAGAGATTAGAAGTGTTTTCCCTGCTTTTGTTACTTGGTAACCGTTGCACAACAATGTCTTTCTTTAATTTCTTTGTTGCAATATTTTGCATGACTGATTTCTTTAATCCACAGCCCATCTAGATCATATGTCCTGCATTTTACTGTGTTCAACTGTGAGATTCTAGGCTGGACTGGGCACACAGTGGAGTTCTGGTTTGACTTCAGCAATTCAGCAGATTTAGCTTAATAATGATAGATATTTAATTCTTTGGATCCAGATGAAGACTGGTCAAATTGTTGCCTTCAGATTTTTCCAACGGAATATCTTGTTAATTCCCTGTTAACTTTGCCAGCTATTTAAAGGTTTCTAGGAATTTGGTGCGGGCAGATGAAACAGTGTGATGGTCTTTGCATTTTTGGCAATCTTAGGTTAAAGGGAAAGATCTTTATTTGGGTATATATTGTATGTTTTATACCTCTGACCCTTTCTGGTATATGTTTATTTATCTTTCTGTAATTCAAGAAGAGCAAGAACAACATTCAAGTTGAATAAGCTAGAAAACAATCTATGTCTATTTTAGTTGTATGTTGAGCGATGTTACAATTGTATGGCTAGAAGGGGGCACTTAAATCCATCTTTCCACTCCTTGGTTCAATGTTGACATTCAAATCAATTGTTTCCCCCAATTGATGGTTCTTTAGCTTTCAAATCCAGAGAATGCTTCTACCATTCTAGTCTTGCTAATATCAGTTGGAATCATTATACTACTTACATTCATTTCAATTAGATTAAATGTTAGCCTTTTTTCCTGCAGGCCACTGCAAAAAAATTTTTTAGAAAAATTATCATCAGCCTTCCATCTTCCCTTTTCAGACCTAAACGCTCCCAGTTTAAATCACTCTTTAAATCAATCTTGTGAGAAACTTTCAAGGAGATATTGGCCTATAATGGTTCTGAATTGAAGATCCTAGATATCCAGGGGCCTCCAGATGTAGGGTAATTAGAGAGGCAACATTTGCTAGTTTGTCTTAGAGGTTGGGATTAGTAAAGAAGAATAGCTGATGATTCATAGCTTCTGAAATATGTGGGTTTCCATGAAGAACAATGTTGAACTAATCTTACTCAACCAAACCAAACCAAACTGGGTTACTCTAGGATAGTTTTCCTCAACCTTGGCCTCTTTAGATGCATAGATTTCAACTCCTAGAATTCCCAATCAGAATGTGATGCATCTTATATTATGGTTTGTAGCACAATCAGACTGGATTTGAGATTTTTGTCTACCTATTGAGTCCTTTGGACAGATGTGGATGTTTGATAGTGTTACAGGTTGTAAGCTGTTTCAAATAAATGCCATTGACTGATGGTGAATTTGTCAATGCCTAAGGCCGTGATGGTGAACCTATGGCATGCATGCCAGAAGTGGCATGCAGAGCCATCTCTTCAGGCACACCAGCTGTCGCCCATTGCTCTTCCGTGTTCCAGCGTGCACATGTGCGCCAACCAGCTGGTCTTCACACATGCAGAAGCACAAGAAACCAGAAAATTAGCTTCCTGGCGGGCATGTACATGCTGGAAACTGGAAGCTGCCACATGTGCATGCCAGGAAGCTGCTCTTCCCATTTCCAGTGCTCCCCTGCACACATGCTCCCACTTCACCAACACTGGCCTAGGGTATTCAAGTGCTCCAGTTGTTTTGGGATTGCACCCCAGCTTCTTCTCCTTCTGCTTCTTCTTCTGCATTGGAAGAGAAGCTTTGCTGGAGTGATCTAATTCATCATTCTACTTTCAATACACTAGACTCCTGACTTAAAGCCCTTCATTATTATCCTCATGAGTTTGCTAAATGCATTAGAATGTCTAATTAAATTGTAGAAGCTTTTGAAGTTTCCTTTCTCCTTTAGGTTTCTCCTTTTTGAAACTAACACTGATTTTCTGAGAGATTCAGAATTGCTTATTAGTTTAGTCTAATTACAGAACTGTATTTATGATGTCAGAGAACATCATAAGAACATTGTGGATCTCAATTATAGACTGAATATTGCCAGGATTTGCTGCAATCATGATTTGAAAGTGGGTCAGTTTCTTCCAATTTAGAAGGTACCAAGCCCAGATGAAATGTGGTTGCTTTGTTGAAGAGGATTCTGCTAAGAATAACTTCACAGAACTTCATTTCAAGGGTTTGGAAATGCCCAAAATTAAAATGAATGGTTTTTTAAAAAAACCTCTTTCCAAATGTACTATATATTTTGTGTGCAGCTATAAAAGCTTGAGTTCTAATCCCACTTTAGGCAAAAAGTTCTCAATGGCCTTTGGCCAGTGACTTTGTCGCAATCCATGGAAGGAGACAATGGCAAACCACTTCTGAAAAACCTTGCAAAAAAAAGTACAGGCACTCTCTGACAGTCAGGCATGGTTGACGTATATATTCTAGGCAGATACTGTGTAGAACCCTCAAACTCCCAGGCCTCAGTGAGGGCCTGGAGTGAAGAAGACACATATTACCCATAGGGGTGAAGAAGGGATCTTTTGAATGGATTGTGTTCAAGCAAAATATGCAAGATGATGGGTGCAGTGAAGCCCCACTCCTTTCATGCACACTTTGTATTTGATCAAGCACACACCCTGTGGATACCCCTGAAATCTGTAATTGTACTTGTGAAAATCCATGCTGGTATATCTAAAGCAGGTTAGATTGTTGTATGCAGTATACAGTTAAAGTAACATACAAAGTGTTTAGAACAGCCGAATATACTATATTTATAAGAATAACCTAATAATAAACTTGACTTAGATATTTTGACTTAACCCTATTAAGATGCTTTCTTCTCTTGCTTCAGATGCTTTCCAATCTTGCTTCAGCAGATGGCAGCACCTGGCTGAATTTGTCTGGGCTGAGAAGATAAGCAGTGTCAGGCCTGGCTAACCCTTTGATGATAGATTACTAGGCAGTCCCAGGGCTATAAACTAGATTTGGAAGTTGAACAACATCCTAAAATAAAGCAATAGCAAGCTTCTTCTGCACCATGGCACAAACAATTGCATTGGCATGTCCATGAGATCACTAGGAATAATACTGAACTCAACTTAGAGACTTCCCTTTTATATTTGATACTACCTTCCGATGGTATTAAAATATTAGTTTACAGAAAGAAATCTTTATGTTGGATAATCTATTTCCTACAGGGCCCTTTGAGGGGGTTCCACCACAAATGCGCGCACAACAAAAGCGCGCCTGACTAAACCGC